TGCTCAATTCTCAATCCTGCCATTCTTCCTGATCATATGTGGAAAAATCATAGACAAATCTTCCAAGCAGCAAATGGAGACAGTTTCTCACCTGAAATAATCAGCAAGCCTGTCACAATCCAACTCTATCCTGAAGATGTCAATCATACAAAGTCTCGGTGGAACATTTTTCAGAAAAGACTCCAGAAGGACGTCAGCTAAGGAAAAAATAAATGGAAATTTTAGAAAAACTTGTTGACAGTTTGGACCATAGCGCAAAAAAGGAAAAAAAAAACATTTCTTAAAAAAGAAATAGAAAAAATTGTAAATGAATTATATGCAAACCCCTGGTGGAATACAACACAAAATGAAAAAGGAAAAGAAAAAGAAAAAGCAGAGTCAAGCAAGAAAAAATCACAAAATCCAGGATCAAACCAAATAAATGAACAATTTCCCTAGATTAATTATGATGACAGTATTTTCCAAAACTCACTGAATCCATGGTCAAGTGAAACTCAAGAAATCAATATACCGTGGTTAAATCAACATCGTCTACATTCACGTCCAGAAGACAATATGAATCTCGGCACACCTTAACTAGACAAAGATAGCACTATATCTACTTTATTTTAGCAAGATCTGCTTTATTAAAGTTTGTTTGTCCATTTGTATAATAATTTGTTGCTTTAGTTGTATTATTGTACTATATGATAAGGTGAATCAGAAAGTTTGTATTATATCTGTAAAATAATGACGCGTGTTTGTTATGTCGGAAAACATGTGAGTCTCGTGTGTATTTTTAGATGCTTTTCTTCTCTATATAAGGAGAACTCTTCCTCTTTGTAATTCATTCGAAGTTATCAAGAGTTTAGAAAATAATAATTAGTGTGCTTTATATATCATGTTCTTCTATACCCTTCATGTTATCAAAAGTCATGAATCAATCTGGCCCTGCAAAACCACTAGAAAACCCCTCCACCAAGAAACACCACACACAATGGACGGCTTGACCGAACTTATTATTGCAAAAATCAAGAGACTTATCTTTTCTCAAACCAATCATAATTGAACACATTTCCATCTCAATCATATTACTTGATTTTCCAAACATTATCTAAATATTTAGAAGGGGCCGGTGGGCGGCTATTGATTTTGAAGTATAACCAAACGTGATCTATAGAAGGGCGGGTGGTCGGCTAACGTTGATGAGATATTTCCTCATTTTAGCTGAAAACATTCCAAAAATAGTAAAAGGCGCAGTGTTACATTGTTTACTGCCATTTATTCTTGTCATTTTACCATTCTATCCTAGCACAAAACCATATTTACATATTAGCCCATGTCATATACATCTCACTATTACCATTCTAATTAGCTCACTAGCATTTGCTATTTCATAAACAAACTTATTTCCCAATCTTACAACATTGTATCTTATAATTCCCCCTTGTATTTGTAGCTGCTTCTATGTACAATCTGACCAGAGTATTTGGCGGGCATTATGTTGTGTATCTATCAGGGGACTTAGGCAGGTATATAATGGTGGGGTTGGCTAATATTCTATGACGAGTCCTCCCGTAGGAGCTCTATGAGGAATTCCCTTTCTTCGCTTGGCAGTTCGGCAATTCATAGCAGTAGGAAGCGGCGTTGACGGACTGAAGCTAGCGACACCATTCGCCCGCCCGTGGCTGCTGCTGTACGAGTCTTCGGAGTCTGATGCAGCCCCTTTCTTCGTCTTCTTTTCGTGATTCTTTGATGTCCCAACCATCTGAAATCAATAATCACAAATTTAAAACTCAAAACACTATCAGAGTTTCTTTCAGGCAACCCACAACAAATCAATTGTAATGATTTCGAATTCCCACTAATTCAAATTTGAAACTTACGAAAGATAAGTTGATGCAAAATCTTCTGGCATCAATACGTTAATCTTCACAAGATTCATAACCCAATTTAACATCAATAGTACAGCTCATTCAACACCGATTTATTAACATTAACAATTGTGAAACAAATTCAATTCATCATTGACATTCGCATATAAAATTAGATGCAAGATCTCATTTAGAGAAGCAAAAATAATTTGATGGTATAAAAGCAAATCCATTGGTACCTTGCAACCAAGAGAACAGAATCTGAAAGAGTCGAGAAGGCTCCGTTCGCAGATTTCGCACGTGTTCGTTACGCCTTTACCGGGCCTTGGCTGTGGCCTCTCATTCAGGAAGACAACCTTTGCGCTGTTGATTATGTATGTTTGAACAGAGTTTATGTCTAGGTACTTCTGAATTTCAGAAACTCTGATAACATCATGGTATGAAGACCTTCTTATCTGTAAAAAAAAAAAAATTAATGAATTTGATTAACAATGTAAGATGAAACATTGGGGAATAAATGCCATTTTACAGGTCAACGCAGCGATGGAAAGGACCCATAATTTGAGAGAGAGAGAGAGAGATATGGATTCAAATGGAAAATTTATAGGTACACGAAAGGGTTTGATGCTGAAAACAGAGGATTTTTGAAAACGAAACCACAATGCTAAAAGGACAGTGAAAACAATAAAAGGGTTGATGAAAATAGACCTGAATTGCACGATGATCCTTGTGATAGGCTAAACAGAGTGAACAGAGAGGGCCATTAATGCAGTCCAAGCAGTACATATTGCATTCACTTTTGTGGGAATTAGCGTGAAATTTGCATAGAACAAAGAAACGTTGCTTCAACAAAGTATTCAGCCATGGCGGCCACCTGTTGTCCTCCTCATTAGGCCCCCCAGCCCCCTATGAACAAAGGAAAACCCAATAAACGTGGATAAACAAACCAAAAAAGTCATAAATAATATCTGAGAAAAACAGAAGAGTCAACTAAAGGGAAACCAATAAAAATGTGGAAAAAACAAACCCAAAAACTCGAATTTCTACTCAGAACTAGTACCATGATTCGTCTATTCTTGGGCTTGATTTCATGGACACCAGATTCTTGATTATCAATCGCCAGCTTGACTGGTTTGAATGAAACCAAGTACACAAAATGCTTCCCAATGCAGTTTTTTGTGGGTTTATTTGAGCAAGAACGCTAGCTTATAGGGAAGAGAAATTGAAAAGTTTTACCATGGGAACTTTCATGAAGTGGAGGCGGTGAGGGAGAGTAGTACTTGTACTCTTCTAGAGAGAGGGGTTTTGGAGTGCGTGCGTGGGTGGGGGTCGTTCTTATCCTTTCAAAGTCATACATACACAAAGGCCGAACCTAGCTCCTTAGCAGAACCTACAGATACGTTAGGTGCAAGGAAACGACCTCCATCTCTCCTTTTATATGAAATTTCCTCTTTTTTCCTTTCATTTTCATGTGTTAAATATTCTTGCTTTTGTGTTTTATTAATTCATAATATTTTATTATTTATTGGCCTAAGGTACATTATTGGTGCCTTTTATTTTATATTATAACTAACCTCCTGATCAAAATCTTCAATTAATTTTAACAACTCATTTTATAGAACACACAATTTTTCAATAACGCATTCTATGAAATTTTATCAAAATCTACAAAAAATCAAATTTTAATCACTACCAAACATGGACTAAATAAGATTCTTCATTTGGTAATTAACATTTTCCATATTGGAATTAAAATTTGATTAATGAGTTGGCCATTATTCCAATTCCATTCATTATTGGCTTAGGTTTGAGTCATATAGTTGTTTTGGTAAGCCACAATTATCTAATCCTATGTTATGAAAATCTGGACTAAGTGGGTTGTTCAATCATAAAACTCGTGACTCAACCAGTAATTTGGTTTGGGTCACCCTATCAGTAAAATTTGTTACGCCTCTTCCAATCAGCCTCCAAAACACCCTACGTGGCAATTTCATGACAAATGAACTTAGGCCCGCAAGAAAAGGCTGAACCTGAATGGTTAGCCGAACCCATTAGTTGGAATTGACCCCTTATTGAGAATCGAACCCTCATGGGCGGGGTGAGGCTGCAAGGGGCTTAATAGATGATCTTTTATGCAATCCTTAGTAAGTAATTGATGTGACATTGATTACGCCCAAAGTATAACGCGATAGTTGTAGTGTAGTTTTGGGGTGTCGTCTTCACAGGGAGATGAAAAAATATTTAAGGGATCAAAAAGGGTTGGTTTGTTCTCTCAAAAGCGTAGTTGAATTCAATTGTGAAAAAATGAAGTTAAAAATCAATAGTTTAAAATAGTGAAGATTTAGAATTCTCTCGGTTGGATTGGATCATTCACATCAATTATTCAGTTTTATAACTCAATTAAAGGCTTTCATCCCGACACTCTAATCGGAAAATTTATCGTGAAAACCAATTTACTTTACAAATATATGCTAGAATCTAGATTTATATCATGTTTACACAATTTTAGTGGAATAAGATTAAAGATCAACCAT